AGCTTTTTGTTGGAATTAATTATACTCAATAATATATTACTCAATTTTTCCATCAGCTACAGTTTGCTTTTAGAGTAGTTCTGATTACTCAACAGCCTTGGAAGAGTATCTATGGTAGTTTGTTTCGAGATTTAAATCATCATCCTTAGTTAATCGCTTATCAAAGGTTGTTTCATTTTTATAAATGCGGATCTAATATGAATTTATATTGGAGAATAAGTCTTAAATGATTAAATTTAAAACAGTAATTCGTTTTCATAAATAATTACAAATATCTATTATCAGTGATATGTATTATATATATGTCTTGTGTAACTTAGAATTTTTATAATGAATATTCATTAAAAGATTCAATTAAGTTTACTTTACTTTATTATAACTTTATCATCTCTTTTTTTGTTTTATTTTTTTTATATTCTTGGAATTAAATCTATAAATGCTATTTTCGTATCTCATATTTTTGAATCTAGTACTTAAATGTTAACCGAACATGTGAGTAAAAATGTAGAGATTGAAAGTGTTAAGTTTTCAAAGAATAAAAAAATATAAAAAGGAAAAATTTAAGTCACTAACTTCATAGGAGTCTATTTTACAATCAACATGATATAGCTTTCCATAATCAAATCGAGTGATCTGTCGATCTATTTAAGAATGTAGAATAAGATAATAAATATAAATAATAATAGGAATTTATATTGCGAGTGAAGCAGAGAACTGTGAAATTAATAAATTTAGTTATCGATGAGGTCGTAAACTTCTATACTAGTATATAAATACACTTCCTAGCCAAAAGCAAAGACAATAAAACACAAAATGCTACAGATATTCTCATCTTCTCCAACACATAGGCGTCATATAAAATATCATATAAAACAATTCTATATTATTTAGATAGCTGGATCAGGTTATTATTTTACTTAACTCACAAGCAATTACAGCTCTGAACTGTGATGGCGGTGATTACAAAGCTTTTTAAGTTGACGGTTGTCTTGAATATTACGCCAATAGGGACGATTATATATATTTTTAAATACTTAATAAATAGGAAGTAAAAATTAAAAATTGAACTGCATATCTTCACTATTTATTATATTTCACCTTATTAGTCCTGAATGGTGCAAAAGCTTGGCCAATTACCAACAGTGATGAGAAGGTGTAAGACGCATTCGAGAGAAAAATTTTTCGGAAGATCTATGGTCCCATACGCGTTGGCGACGAGTATCGAATTAGATGGAATGATGAGCTGTATGTGCTATACCGCGACATTGACATAGTTAAGCGCTTCGCTGGCTTGGTTATGTCGTGTTAATGGAAGAAAATGCTCCGGCTAGAAAGGTGTTTGATTCAGTATCCGCAGGTGGAAAACGCGGTAGAGGACGTCCTAATTTCGGTGGAAGGACCAGGTTACTTACAATTTGGGGGCGCCCGGTGTTACCAACTGACGATAGCAAGCAACTAATCGGGCTGACTGGCGGAGGCTACTTAATGCGGCCAAGGATGACTCACGTGTGTAATGGCCAACTAAGTAAGTCCTGCATACTATTGTTGATAAATGATATTAGAACTTATAATAACCGGTTAAAGAGGACCTTAATATTATAAATCTAAGTGAATGTTAAGTCAAAAAAAATACTAATATACTGCTAAAAAATAATTTAAAAAATCAATAACTTATTGAATTGTAATTAAACTATCTTTTTAAAGGACTCTTTTTTTTAACGTAACAATTTTTTTAACAAAAGGAATAATCATCTTGGTTAAGTTATTAATATTTTTTTTTAAATTATAATTTTACTCATTCCCGCTCCTCGTCTTTCCGTTCAATTTAATTTAAAAATTAAAATCTTCTAATTAATGCTGCAATCTAGAAATTCTCATTAAAATTGTGAGATAAAAATGAGAAAAGGCAAACGATAAAGGAAAATAACGCGCCCAAGCTACAGCAACCCCCAAAAACTAATGTCGCGTCATCTTTAATTCAATAATAAATTGAATTTATAAACGTTTCCAACTTGAAATCCCTTACCAAACAGCGAAGAAACTAACTGCAAACCCGCAAAATCAAGGGCGCGTATCTTCGCGTAAAAGTTTCATGCATAATCGGTGGATGCTACCAATAGACCATTTTATTTTGCGGTGACAACTTTTTCATAATTCAAGTGGAGGGTTTGCCGGAAGGTAAGCGTAAAATTCATACACACAAACACTTTTGCTTTTAAACGACTTTAACTGAAATTGAGTGAATATTCTAGGTTTTTATGTATTCATTGTAGATAAAAATTATAAAAGTTCGCTGCAAGTAGAACAATATGCGTACCCTGCGCCCTTAGATTCTCATATTTGCAGCGCCAAGCTGTAAAAAAAATTTATATAAACCAAAAACCCAAAAAAGAGCAATAGTTCTTCATGACATTATAATTGTAAGGAAGAAATTTTGGCAATATTTAAGGCCATGACGTTTGCGACACAGTTTATCATTATAGCAGGATTTCACGGCACGAGGGACTCTCTACGTATACGTATACGTATACGTATACGTCATACAACATTACGTTACGAGTAGCAAAGAGTTACCCTGCATTGTTGTTCTGCGTTTTCTTGTAGTGTTGTGTAGTGTGTGTGCGTACTAATGTTTACTAGTTTGAGTGTTTGAGTTCATGTGCTGCAGTAGCCATTGTGAAAAATTCACCAATCAATGACTGAAGCAGGGATGAATTGGGATTAGGGATGAAGTACGTGTGTGCGTGTGTATGTCTGCACTGCTTGTGTTCAAGGAAAGTAGGTAGAAATATATATGCTGCCATACATTTTGCAGTTTACTCAGACTGTTCAGATTTCCTTAAAATGTAAGCGCAGAGATTTGAGATATTCAGTTTGAGTTCAGATCTTGAGGTGAGCAGAACGCCTGTTTTTATGTTTTGGTGAATCTATCAATATTATTTTTCGTGTGTATATATATTTAACAATATTCGAAGAAAATTCGAAAGACTACTAATTTTTGAAAAAAAGAATAAAGTGCAAATTATATAAGAAAGTGAAAAACAATAACAAAAATGTCAAACTTTAATATGCATCCTCCGCAAACTTATTCACGTTTATTCCGTCCATGGGATACAAATAGAAATACCTCCACTGATTCAGATACAAATAATGAAAATAATATTAAAACTGAATGCAGTACAGCTGAAACGATGCCATGCGCAACTTCACAGAATCATTTTAGTATTCCTTATAATGGCAACGATAGCGACCGTGAGTGTGCTTCCAGTGATAGTAGTAAAAACAGCTATGAAGATGGGCTTAATAATAGTTTTGCGCAACAGCCGAATGAACAAAATAGTGTATTATACTCCATGGGAGAAGAGCCTTCATCTTCAGCTGAAAATTCATCGTACGGATATAGCTCACGGATATATGGCCCGACGTACGATCATCATCATCAGTTTCATCAAATGATGGCCAATACGCCAGTACACCATGAATTTTATTATGTCGCAGCTGCGGCCGCCGCAGCTGCCGCTGCAGTAAATGTCAACAATACTCTTCCTGTTCCAACTTCAACCCATCCACCATTACCACCAACTGGTACTCTTGGAGTGGAATATACTTTAAGTGTTATGGAACAAGAATATGCCCGAATTGTAGCTGAAGAGGCACAGCTTAAAGTTATGAATTCTAGAAAACAACGTCCGAAAAAATTTAAATGCCCACATTGCGATGTGGCGTTTTCCAATAATGGTCAATTGAAAGGACACATACGCATACATACCGGTAAGTTTGACAATTATAATTTATCGTGTCATAAAAGCTCTTAGACATACAAATTCTTAAAGTTGATTAAAAAATTTATTTTATTACTAAGTTTTTTATTTTATATTAAATTCAAATTAAAACAAATAAACTCTAATAATTTTTAATCCAAGTAAATAAAGTAAATATAAGTAAAAACTGTAATTATTGAAAAGATTGTCCTGTTCTGATTTTCTTAGTTTGCTAATATGTCGAATGATTTTTCATTTAAAATACATTTTTACAATTATGTATTCAAATTTTATTGCGAAGAGTTAATTTGTTTAACTACTTCAACATTAGTATATCTAGTATTTGTAATTTTTATTAAAACGAAATTTATTTCTTGTATTTTTAGGTGAAAGACCATTTAAATGCGATGTTGAAACATGTGGCAAAACCTTCACCCGAAATGAAGAGCTTACACGTCATAAACGCATACACACTGGCTTGCGTCCTTATCCTTGCACCGCTTGTGGCAAGAAATTCGGTCGCCGCGATCACCTGAAGAAACATATGAAAACTCACATGCCACAGGAACGTCACTTAGGTCCTGCAATATTTGTACCTATGTATCCTCCATATGTGTATGGATACTAGTAGATAAATACGATGATTGTCGCCTGCTCGCCGCACGTTCCTAACCACTGTATCAACAAAAAAACTTATATTGTAAAAGATTAAACAAAACTACTCTCAACTCTGTACCTGGTGCGCAAACAAAATATCGTAAATCTACCTATGCATAATATCTACCAATTGACAAACGGAGAAGTGGGCAGATAGATAATATGCTGCAACTCAATATGCATCTACGACTATTATGCAAATAATAAAATATTTATTTTAAAATGTATATTTACATATTTATCCTGAGAAACGTGTTTTTATAAAAAACTTATGAATCTGTGCATGAAACGCAGGCAATCAATATATAATGAAAAAACCTACAAGTACATTTGTGTAAATTGTTATATGCAAAATACCAGAAAGTGATATTTCTAACATAAGTGTATATAAACATATTTTTAATTTTAAGATGTATAGCATTAAGAATAAATATATATTTTTAGTGAAATATACAATATTTACAAAATAAATACAACATTGAATATATTTATAATAAACAAGAATTTTATATCTTTATATAAAAAAAATATTGTCTTTAAATTTTAAAGGAACAAAGTAGTAAAATAAAATATAGTATTAAGAGGTAAAATATTTTTTATATGTTCTATATACCTATAATATTTTTATCTATTCTCTAAGACCTGCTTAATATTGCAGGCCAATTTACCTAGTTCAGTACTGGAAAGAATTTTTAACACCTCGAAAGGGTTATTGCGAATTACTTACCTGCACTTGCAGTTGACCTACTCGATGATTGTCTGGAACCTTTACTGTAAAATTGTACAGCAAGGGCTAGGAGTTAACTCCTGTGGTTTAAAAATATTATTGCAATCTTTGTTTCTGTGTTCTTAATCCGCTACTTAACATTATTTTTTCGGGTTAATGATCATTATATGCTTAATCCCTTGGATTAAGAAATACGCGACGTAAATTATAGTTTCATCGTACGAATTCTACGATTTGCAATTGTGCAGGTACTTAGCAAGAGTTGTATCATTGTTTAAATAATAATATAATAGTATAATATAATAATAGCATAATATAGTAAAATAGTATAATAATTAAATAAAATTTATCGTTAAATATAATTTTGATATAACTATAAATTAATTAAATAATTATTATATTAAAAGATTATAAAACAATATCCATCCCTCAAAAAATATAGATATCATTATTAATTCATAATTGTTTAAAAACGTATTAATCTTATTATTAATTCTTCATATTGTGAGTATATTTATTAATATTTATTTGTCTATTTATCAAATATTTACTAGTAAGATTTTTTCATATATCGGCATCTATTTTAGGTGCTTATTTTTTCTTTATTTTAATTAAAGATCTTTTATTTTCTAGTCTTTTATATATTTTCTAGTATAATCCTACTTCGGTGACGTGCTCACACTATTTCAAGTATTAGTTCATTGATAAAAAATTATTATGTAAATAAACATATATTGCAATATCAAATAAAACTCTAAAGACTTGAAACCATTTCGAACCTATAATGAAGAGAAAAGATCTTGGAATTAATCAAGGTCACAAAGAAAATAAAATTCTAACATGTTTAATATACATTGTGTAAGCACCGGAAAATGACAAAATTAAGATTAGTACAAATGTCTACATATAAAGGAAGATTGTATGTCGGTATGCTAGATTATTTTTGAATATTGTCTAAAGCAGGTTGTTTAACTAGCTCACCTTTGGGCTCTGACGAAGGGTAAGAGAGGTAAGCATAGTGGTCCATTGTGATGCAAACGCTGAAGGAATCAAAATTATACTCTAGACGAATGTTTTCTGTATATTATCTTAAAAATCTTTTATCGGGCGATCCTCCTTTAGTTACACTCGCGATACCATACTTCCTTCCCATCAAAAAATGTGTTAAGAAATTTTTTATAGCTTAAGTTATGTAAAAATTTTTTGTATATTTTAAGATTTGTATTTATATATTTGTTATTTCATTTCAAATCATATGATCTTTATACATTTTACCGATCTAAATCATGCTTTATAATAAAAAAATTTTCAATTTCACTTACATTAAAATAATTTTGTCATATATTGAACATGCCATATTGTAACATAAGTTGCAATCGTGTAAATTGCAAACCCCTTCACTTCAGTTGCAATCAGTTCTCAACTTGTTTAAATATATACATTTAAATTAATGTATATTTCGCCAGCTAACAGCAGTAAAAAGATGGCGAAGGATGATAAAAAATAAGTTTCTGTGGGAATCATCTGAAAATACCTCTTCAATATTATTAGTAATTTAAGGATGCATATTAGGGTGCCATTAAGGTATATGGGCAATTTTTTTTTCGTAAAATCGGTTGACGGCACCCCCCAGATCGGTTCATTTTACTAAAAAAATAATCTGTGTAAAATTTTAGTTCAATTGGATAAATGGAAATGGTGCCCCAAGAGCCTCAAAGATTGAAAAATAACGATTTTTTCCATAAAATTCATCTTTGATTGCTTATATCTCCGACATATTTAATTTTACATAAAAACTGTCTTCTATAGATCTATTAAAAATAAACAATTTACTCATACAAAGTTTTTCTGTATTTCTAATAGTTATTGAATAAAAGCAAATACAAGCTAAAATCCCCCTATTAAATTTAGGTAAATTCAATGAATGAATTGTCTACTAAATTTGCTACAAATAAGTCCAATACTTATATAGATATATACATAAGTGAGTTTCTGTATTATTCATTGGAATGCGAAGTGAATTTTAATTCAAAGTGATTACATTAAAAAGTGTACAAGTCTGAAAGCCCAAATGTTGAACTATTTCAACGATTTCAGAAGTTTTGGCCGAAAATAAACGTTGATAAGTTTACAGTCGGCTTAGAAAATGAAAAAGTAAGAAAATCGTTAAATATGGATGATGTGTTACGAATTACAAGTTTCCTTTATAAGATTCGTAAGGATAACCAACCAAGAGATGATTATAAGGGACTTCTGGAACTTGCATTAATGTTTTTAGGAGAAAAGCCGAACTGTACCATAAAGTTTCGACCTTCTGGAGCTATACATCATGCAAGATGGATGGCGAAGGCCATGCATGTATTAAAAATATTTTTATTAAGGAAAGAGTTCAAATTATCTACAGAAGAAGAAAATGCTCTTTGTGGTATATGTATATTTATTACTAAAGTGTATGTTGAAGTATGGTTTAATGCTTTGTCATCAGTCAAAGCTTATTTTCAAGATTTTAATCTTCTTTCTATTCTCAGTCAATATCAAAAAATTGTATTTGGTATTTAAGATAAAGCTTGTTTATTTTGCTTTTTTGGATTTAAATATATCACCTGAGATAAAAAAAAGATGGTTTCAAATTTGAATATAGATAGTGATGACAAGGAAGTCAGGAGAGTATCAATAGATCGCGCAAAAATAACTGAAGGTAATAAGGATACTTTGCTCCAGCAACTTTAACTAAAATAATAAAAATTATGTCGGACAAATCTAGAATTAGTACTTTTTTATTATTAGAAAGATTAAATTTTGGAAATATTGAATTTTTTTTTAAATTTTTTAGAAATATTAAATTTTTTGTAAAGCTGAAGGGGACAATAACATTCACAGTACTTTCAAAGCTAGCAATCGGGTGACTTCAACTTATTTTTTGTTTTATTCAATAACTATTAGAAATGCACTTTGTATGAGTGAATTGTTTATTTTTAATAGATCTATAACTTTTGGGAAGACAGTTTTTATGTAAAATTAAATATGTCGGAGATATAAACAATCAAAGATGAATTTTATGGAAAAAATTGTTATTTTTCAATCTTTGAGGCTCTTGGGGCACCATTTCCACTTATCCAATTGAACTAAAATTTTACACAGATTACTTTTTTTAGTAAAATGAACCGATCTGGGGGGTGCCGCGGGCAATTTTCCAACTTTCGAAAATTAATGGCACCCTAATGCATATATTTTACTTTTGGAAGAGCTTTTTGTATTACAATAAAATTCACATGAAAAGATAGAAAAAACATTCTGAACGGAAGGCCAATTTTTATTTCAATGATAATATAAAAATTTTTTTGATACATACTTTTAATTCCTATTAGAAAATCAATGAGTTGAAATAAAATCATATAATACAAATATTCTATGAAACGTGCTCTATTATAGTTTTACTTTTGGTTACTTCAAATGTTAATTTAATTATCAAGAATAATTAATGATTTCAAATTGAAACCTTTTATACAAGAAATTTTGCAAGGTAAGGCCAGATAAATCCCCACATGAGCAAATTTGCCGACAAAGGGTTAACGTTTCATTCATGCTTAAATCGCATCATGCCGTCGAACATCAAAGACGAAAAATTAAACAAAGACATTGCAGTTGCAAGTGACAATTGATAGAAATGTATTAACTGAATAATTGTTCATATGTCAACCAAAATATTTCAGTTTCAATATGCTAAGTCACAAACGCAAGGATTTTGTATAAATTAAAAAAACAAATAGATTTTTGCAATATATTATCAAAAAGAATTAAACCCACACATTAGTTGTAATATTTAAACGCCTACGAAACTTACACAGCAAGAGTCTGGTTAAGGCTGTGATTATGGTTAAAAACGAAAACCTAAACAATTACAAAGAATTAAATAGAAATATGATAGTTTTTAATAAATTAATAAATAATAACGAATAAAAATAAGATTAAATAATACTAAATAATAATAATAATAAATAATAATAAATAAGACTCTGGTTAAGGCTGTGATTATGGTTAAAAACGAAAATTTAAACAATTACAAAGAATTAAATGAAAGTAGGATATATAAATTCAATGGTTAACTTAACAAGCATATTTACCTTTTAAACAACTCCGTACATATTAGATAAAAAAATTCAACTATATAAATTTTAAATTTTATAACATACATTGAGCGATATGGACTCTAATTATTTATAATATTAATAATAAAAAATATACCTGTTACATTATGTTAAATAATA